ATTCCTAGACAAATCCGAGGTTTTCACATACATATAGCTTAGCTATTGACAGGGAATGTATACACTGTATATATATATATATTGTAGCTACTGACGGTTGACAAATTGGTGGGTCCCTGCTCTTATTGACAATTAACCCTGTACTCACGCAGCTGTTAAGACAATAATAACATATACACAATCACATATAAACATGTACTGTAATAGGTTGTATCAACCATGGTGATGGCAATAGCATCAATACAATGATTAAAGTCAGGCATTTCACAGCAAAGACAATACTGGTAGCATTAAAACCCCATTTCCATATCAAAATCAACATAGAATTTGCATGAGACCCCATTTCTGTTCAGGAGTTTTTCTCACTCACTGTATAATATATATATATATATATATATAATAGCGGTAAAAATTGTTTAACGTCCATGTGATCATAGAAATATAAAATTAAAAAACACAGAAGACTAAATCTCATTATATTTAGTACTTCTCCCATCTTGGGGTTCTCCATCCCAGTACAGAGTTCTGAAGAAACCCAAGATGGGCGAAAGTACTAGCTACAGTATATAGCCATATTAAGTCTTCGGTGTTTTGTTTTATTTATATATATATAGATGTACAGTGTAGAAAAAATAAAATTAACGACCGACTAAAAAACTAGCTGCTTTCACCCTTCACAGGGCTCTTCAGGTTTATTCAAAAGAGAACAACGTCGTGACGTCACAATTACATGTCATCACACTACAATAGTAACGTGACGTCACGAAGTACACAAGATTGGTGGACAATTTGGCGTAAAATTTTATTGTGGCCTGTTGAGACTCGGTTTTAATATTTTTATTAGTTGGTCTTCTTTCGTTTCTCTTAAAATAGTGTCTGATGAAAATAGTTGATACAAAGGTAATACATTAAATTTATCTCCAGCACATTCATGAATATGTTTGTTAACATGAAGATTTCGTAAAGAATCAGTTCTAGTTTGTTGTCTATGTACAGTCATACGTGTTCTGAGTTCATTACCGGTTTGACCGATGTAAAAATCACCACATTTAGAACAAACGATTGCATAAATTACATTTTTTGATTTACAATTCATATTTACCTTCACAGTAAATTTCAAACCATTCTTGAAAATAAAAGTATTACACTCGATAATCATAGGACATGTAGCACATCTTGGTGTCTTACATTTGGATACTTTTGGTGTTACACAAGAATTATCAAACTTAGAACATGTCAACATACGTTTCAAGTTTTTAGGTTGGCGTCTACAGTGTAAAATAGCATGTTTATTAAAAATGTTTCTCATACGCCTGCTACTTTGCTTTAACTCTTCACATTTGTTCTTTATCACAGGAAACATATTACAATTCCGTGGATTGAAAGTAGAAACAAAAGTACATGTTTCCTGTGATAAAGAACAAATGTGAAGAGTATCAACTAATTTAATCAGACATTATTTTAAGAGAAACGAAAGAAGTAATAAAAATATTAAAACCGAGTCTCAACAGGCCACAATAAAATTTTACGCCAAATTGTCCACCAATCTTGTGTACTTCGTGACGTCACGTTACTATTGTAGTGTAATGACATGTAATTGTGACGTCACGACGTTGTTCTCTTTTGAATAAACCTGAAGAGCCCTGTGAAGGGTGAAAGCAGCTAGTTTTTTAGTCGGTCGTTAATTTTATTTTTTCTATATTTACTTCCTTCACATGGACATTTAATCACTTTTTATCATAGATGTACAGTGTATATATATGTATGCAAAATAATTACTTGCTTAGTAATAACACTGCATATATGTATGAAACTTACAAACAAATATATGTGTCACTATAAATGTGCATGCTTTGGCTGAGTGAAAAACTTCTTAAAGTCACTTATGATTCATTTGATATTTATGAAGTTCCTGAAAGCTTATAATAGCAAGCTTAAAGGCGGTCGTTAAAAAATGCTTTGTGAAAGCATTGGATCCTATTTAATCTCCTCTTTGATTTATTTATTTTATGTATCATATTGGTATATGTACCTGAGAAATAAAGTTCCCAAATTAAACTCTCTCACATGTGTACATGAAAGATGAAATAACATTTTTGCAATTTATGAAATATATATATAACAGGACCAGGTAGGTTAAGTCTTTAATATTTGCTGGCTTGAGGGGCTGCCTACTTTAAGCCTGTGTATATAACGCTAACCTAGATAAGGAACTAGAATTCAGAGGAAACCTTCTGCATAATGTAGATATGGTAGCAGATCTAGAGAAGCTTATAGTTTCAGTGTTATGGTGTGTGTCTCAATAGATATGATCAGCTGATTGTGTCAGAGAAGGTATACAGACAAAGTATTGGTGATCAGTATCATGTACATAGGAACCTTCAGGTTTCCAGACATTCACAGGTTCTGTGGAGTGGGAATCTTGTACAACTAGTGTACACTATAGTATTGAAAAATAGATTTTAGTGATGTACACTGTAGTATGTAAGTAGCCACCTCTTGCCTTGTGCCGTAACGTGTGTGTATAACAAATGGAACAGAGGTAGGAATGATTTTCAGCAACAGATTATATATAATTATTTGTGTATATATGAATGATATACTGGAAGGTATTACATTTGTGAGACCTTTGGTACTTAAAATACATATGGTTAGAGAGGCAATATCTATATATATATCAAACATGTCTCGTGTAATACCCTTGTGTGTAAATACAAGGAGGCACAGTAGTTTAGTGGTAGGACGCTCATGATCAGGGCTCTTGACTGAAGATTTGAGTGAGTCACGGCACAGCACTGTGTTGAATCTTTGAGCAAGATACTTTACTCGGCTTGTTCCAGTCTACTCAGCTGTAAATAAGAATGTGTTTGGGCAGTGCTAAAATTGTTGAATGCTAGCTGTGAGCGCCGAAATGGCAGCACCGGCTGTGTGCTCCCCAGGGAGTTGAGAAAGATATTGGCTGGTTGCAAAGGCCCTATAATTTATATAACCATGCACGGATGATAATATTTTTGAACCGCTTTGAGGTGACTTACTAACTAGGTTGTGATAAAGCAGTATATAAGAACCTTAATTTATTATTTATCATTGAACACTAAATCTCTAAACTAAATTGGTGTGGATTGATATTGTGAAAAAAATTCATTTAATTTTTGTTTAACACCAGATATAGGTGAAAATCACTTACAGAAAGCAATATCTCTCCAATGAAAAGGTAAATTCAACATTTGGCACTCTTGTTCGAGATTAGTTAAAGGCTGAAAAAGCAGGGTACTACTGTACATGTATGAAGTTCTGGTTCTGGGTCTGATCAGTAAGTATCAGCAATGTCCTATTGGATATCAGGCTGATTGAAGTATATACATGAACTATTGAGTTATACTTTCAATATAACATTTTTTTTTAAGAAAATCAAATCAGGATCTATGAATTGATCTTCAATTGTTTGATTTTTGATTTTTTTAGCTCACCTGGCCCGAATGGCCATTTAATTTGAGCTTATGTCGTACTGCAGCGGAAGTCGTCCGACGTCTGTCCGTCCATTTTCTGTCGTATGTCAACTTTTTCTTTTGAACGACTTCTTCTGAAGAACTGGAGGACTTGGGTCATGATAGGTACCTGGGATGGAGTGCTATAAAATTTCCTAATTAAAATGACCTTGACCTTCTTTCAATGTCACAGAGGTCAAATATGTTTAAAATTTCAAAAAACAATATCCTGAGAACCATTTGAACTAGAGTCATGATACTTGGGTAAACTTTTTCTTTTGAACAACTTCTTCTAAAGAACTGGAGGACTTGGGTCATGATAGGTACCTGGGATAGAGTGTTATAAAGTTTCCTAATTAAAATGACCTTGACCTTCTTTCAATGTCACAGAGATCAAATATGTTTAAAATTTCAAACAACAATATCCTAAGAACCTGGACTAGAGTCATGATACTTGGGTGTGTTATGAAGACCAGCAGTGTGAATCTTTTTCTTAATTACAGTAATAAGGTCAAAGGTCAACTTTAAGTTCTAGCCAGAGTCGCAGGTCAACATGGGTTAAATTAAATCTTAAAATTTCAAATTTCAAATTTCAAACAACAATATCTTAAGAACTGTTTGAGAGATGTTAAAATTCTTATGTTTTAGTTACCAAATTTGGTCTAAAGTTACCTTTATGTCAGTTTCATGTAACAACATTTTAAAGAAACAGGTGAGCAATACAGGCCCTCCAGGCCTCTTGTTTCTGTTACATGTATTATGTTTTATGTTGTTGGCTGAATGTGTCTAATTATTTGTTAAAGGAATGATCTAGATATTTGTTTTTGTATCTAATGTACATACATGTTAAGCTGCACTTAGCGTAAACCTATGCAGAATTGAAATGCCAACATCTGTTATTTCATTGTCCGGTAATAGATATATTAGTCCACCCCCTACTTTGCGTCAGAGGTTTTGGTGGCCCCTTGGGCTTACAGCAGGATAAATACAGTAGATATGTATATATATTTATATGATACATGTATAATACTTCATTTAATCAGTTATGGTTATCAGTAGTTTTTTACCACACATCAGTTGCTGACATTCATGCTTTATAATTAGGTTATCAAATAATTTCAATACATGTGCACAGACTGTGAAGTAGTGTATGTTGCTTACACTAAGTGTATAAGGCTTAAACAAAGGTTAATATTGATCACAAAATTAATACAAGTATGTATAATGTAACACATGGGATGGAACTCATTATTAGAGGTAACTAACATAACTGCATCCTCCATGTTTTATACCCATATAATTATAGTTACTGGTATTCACTAAATGATGGTGACAGTGCATTGCATGTGGCCGCGTACAGGTAACGGGGCATATATTATACATATGTATACGTGTACTTCTGGAACATTGCTAAAAGTGCTAGTCTGACACTACAGACAGAAGGAGCCGAAATGTCGTCGGAATGAAAATTTGTGGTATATTCGAATTCCTGGATAGTCAAAGTGTATTCTAAAAATTCTGCCTGCATTCTGAGTGCATTCCAAATAATCTGGTCCATTCTTGTGGCCTGAGTCCTAATGTTTTTGCTCATGTTCAAAACTTTTGAGGTGCATTCGTAGTGGAGAAATACCGGACGGCATTCGGAGTGTATTATATAACTGCATTCTGACTACATTCTAAATAGTCTTACAGCATTCTGACAGCATTCGAAATATTTTCATCGCATTCGAAGGAGAATCCAAATGGTGCGTTCTGACTGAATTTGAAGTGAATTTGTACAGCATTTGAATTGAGGTACCTTCAGACCAGAATTTGGGCGGTATTCGGGCAACAATCCAACCGTATTCGTACGGCACATTTGAAATGCATTCTAAACATTTTGATTGTATTCTAACAGCATTATTAATATATTCCTACTATGTTCCATCTAGTGCTACATTCGAGCTGCATTCAAGAGCTAAGACACCCGTAATGTGTGAGAATTTAGGCCAATTTGTCTTTCCCTCCCGTATGTGGCACAAATTCTAATTTTGTTTCTTTCCGGCTGATTCTGCCTAATTCCTGCTGATTCTGCCTAATTCCTGCTGATTCTGCCTAATTCCTGCTGATTCTGCCTAATTCCTGCTGATTCTGCCTAATTCCTGCTGATTCTGCCTAATTCCTGCTGATTCTGCCTAATTCCTGCTGATTCTGCCTAATTCCTGCTGATTCTGCCTAATTCCTGCTGATTCTGCCTAATTCCTGCTGATTCTGCCTAATTCCTGCTGATTCTGCCTAATTCCTGCTGATTCTGCCTAATTCCTGCTGATTCTGCTAATTCCTGCTGATTCTGCCTAATTCCGGCTGATTCTGCCTAATTCCTGCTGATTCTGCCTAATTCCGGCTGATTCTGAATAAGTGTGACTATATAGGGCTTGCCTTTAACATTTGTGTTAGCGGTATGTGACCTGATCATGAAGTGTAGGCCTGCATTGTATATACGTCGTCTGTGATGTGTAGTTTTACATGTAAAACATAGTAAATGGATATATATAATAAATATACCATAACACAAGCTAAATGATATTATGAAACACTTTAATAATATCATTACAATCTGATGTAGCTGTTAAAGTTGCCAGATACATTTTCCCAAACGTGTATCTGTGTAGGTTTCGGGTAAGAATTAAAACCAGTGTTGCATTTCAATGCATGATCGTATGAGGCGACTTAAAATAATATGGGATCCCTGCAGTGGTTTTTCTTCCGTGTCCTCTGCTAATTAGGGGACATGTACACTGCACAGGTAGAAACCAAAAGTTAGCTGCATTTCCATTGCAACACTTGGGGACCAGGTTATTTTCTGGGTTTTTTTTCTCTTCTATACCTATATGGTACTCTACTTTTCAGCTGTGCCCCCCTAGCTATATATATGCATCTCTGGTTATAGCCTGTTGTTAAAACAATGTGACCTGAATAGAGTGTCACATTTGTTCACTTATACTGTGTCAATTACGAGGTCATGACACATCAAAGTGGTCCTTGTGAGGCCTTATCATTTGTGAACATTTGACCTATAGCTGTTGTGATGATGCAGAACCGTTAATAAATACAATAGGTTTCCATGTGCATTTTAATGTTGTTATAAAATGTGGACACAGTTATTAAATTCAAAATACACAATTGCCTATCAGTCACCTGTTATTTGTCACCTCTTTGCTAAATCTCTGCTTACATGTCGTTTCTTGTGCGAGTTTAAATTTGCACCAGAGGAATGTTTTGCACACAAGTTGTATGTACCAGGTACATGAAAACATGATTATGACAGGATTTCATCAAGGGGCAAGTTACAACAGAACTTTAAATGACAGTATTGAAAAATAATTCACAAATCTTTCCTGTTTTCAAATTTCAAAGTATTCAAGTCTATACATGTAAAAGCTGGTTTATTGGAATACATTGTATTTCAATTTCATTAATTTTTAATTTTGTCATATACATTTAGACGGATTTCAATGCCTGATGTAAACATATTCATAATGAATTAATTATAAGTGCTTCACGATATAGATAATATAAGGATCCAAACAAAAAGTGGTACACACATTTATAGTTTGTATTGTTGTCCAATGTTTACAGAGGATGTCCATGGCCGGTACCAATGTATGATGTGACTGAAGCTAGCTCTACTTCCTGTCTCATTCATCCGTCGTTACATCTCACCGACCGGCCTGATGCGAGCAAAACCGAAAAATGTTCTCATTCTTATTGGAATTGTGTGTGCTCTCCCCCTGACCTGGCTTTCACTGTTCGCAAAGCAAGGTTAGTACTTCAGTTTGTATACAGCTGTGTATATCCTTTATAATGCAACAACAGTCTTGATTAACATACTCAATTATTAATTTTGATGGACTTTAGAGTACTCGATCAATTAATTATTTAATTTGACTTGAGAGCGATCAATTATTGATTAAATTATATATTGAGTAATTATAAGGTTGCCTGAATTTTCACTTCAGTAGAACATGATTTTGACAAATCACAGTGGACCTCAAAATTCAGTTTGCTTTTTCTAAAAATTATTGTTTGGTGTTTATGGATAATTTAAATTCCTCACCAGAGGACAAAGATGTGACTTTGTTTTTATCAAGAATTTGCTATAGATTTGTTTGTTGGGGTTGTTGACTGTACAACTTAATTGATGCCCTAGGCCTTTATACGTTATTCATTACATATCATTACACAGTTATATAAGTCATGAAATCATGTATGCAATCATTATATCCATTCTTCACAGTAGTTCTCACACCTCCTGTATCAGATCTGAGAAGATAAATATAACAATACACATCTGTTTGTCCTGATCAATTTGTTTCCACAGAACAACACATCAGTAGATCTAGCCTGCATGTGGTTAAACTTATACACACCCTAGTAGGGTTACTTCCTTGTTAAATGTATTTGCTTGAATTCGCTTTTTAAGTCAAGTAGTCAAAAATCAAGATCACGGTCTATTCCTTTAACTCTGCATTCACCCCTGAAACTTCCTTATGAACTATTCCAACCTTTGAATTGGAAGAGTTCAAATGTGTTGTCAGGGGTGAATGAGTTAAATATGAAATTAAGTTTCTGCAAATAGTCAATCCATCTTCAAAGTTATCCATCATCTTTTTATAATCAGCCAGGTAGCAATAATTATACCCATTCATCAGCTTATATTTACTTGGCATAAATCAAAGGCCTGTTATAATTAGATAATGCAACGATGCCTTGACTGTCATCCATCCATTGTTCACTTTTTTTCTTGAAACAATATCTAGGACTCAGAGGCTACAGTATTGACATGTACACTTCGCCTGTAGCTTGCCAGGATATTAGGTTGTCAGATTTGTTCAGAGTAATGACCTCGGCCCACTTTAAAGGTCACATTAAGAAAAATAATTTGAAAGCTGAATAACCAGATTTATAAGATGTATTGAAATGACATTTATAGTCTGTATAGTACATAAGCTTGTAGCTATCAAGTTTGTTTAAATAATTTTGACCTTGACCCATTTTGAATGTCACAGATGTGATATCCAATAACTGTAAAAGTAATACAAGATTGTTGGGCCTCTTGTTTTTTTCTTCATTAATGCGCTTTTTATACCCCAGCGAGACCGTTACTCGTTACCAGGCAAGTATATATTCTAAAATGTTGACCCTTCGTTACATACAACAACCCAACCGGAAGAGATTGTCACTGGGGAATATCTCAAAAAACGAAAAAAATTATCTCAATTTGAAAACTTTTCAACTTGCCCTGTCAGCTTTAACTTTCAAAATCCAGTTATCGACATAGGTATATAAATCTAATTCTATCAGATTCAGAGATTAGATGGTATGCTAAACAAATAGTATTGAGGGGGAATTAGCCCAAAACACTGGTTGAGAGATTTTTAAACAAACATCCCAAACAAAAGCATTTTTTTTCCCTGTTATCAGTATTTTTAGCAAATACCCAATCTCAACATCATGATCTTTATCAATCTGTATTATGTAACACTGACATTCCTTTTGGTTGTGTTTAATTTGTTATCTTCATTCTTGCTCGGTTAGTATCGTGATATATATTTTAGTCTCCTGGTGAGATATAGATATATATAGAAACAGGCAAATACCTTGCTACCATGGGAATTACAGAAAAATACATGTATGTTGCTTTAAGAAGATGTTGTTATGAACTTCAGTCATCTAGAACTAACATTTAAATTTAGGTGGACCTTTTCAACAGGTTCATGGCTTAAGCTATATATGTATTAGTGATCATGAATTTATATAAGTTCGGGTATTTACATAGCTAAGTGATTATTTGTCACTATAAACCAGTTTGCAATTAAAATCAGCAAATTCAATAATTCAATTCATGGTCTCCTGGTGTTTTTAAAATGTAGTACTATCATAATTTATAAGTAAAAATGTCAGAGTGATTTTACATATGGAATTGGGAATTTAAATCAGATTTGTGTTAATTGATATATAATATGGAAATCATTGCATGCTAAAAATGGTAAATTTATATCTGCAAATCGGAATATATGTTACAAGCTCAGATGGTGCTGTCCTAACATAGAGGACACATGTACAGCTGTGCACACTTCCTGTTCAGATACATATACTACAATAGACATTTGACAGTCAAGCCATCTTCAGTCCCTTTAGATAATCCAGCTGTCTTCATTATCAGTAGATGATGATAACTGGGTTAATGAGTCTATAAATAAAAGGGGGTCTGGTTTAGTGGTGACTAGATTAATGAGTCTGTGTAGATAGTAGGACATCTGGATTAGTGGTGACTGGATTAATGAGTCTGTGTAGATAGTAGGGTATCTGGATTAGTGGTGACTTGATTAATGAGTCTGTGTAGATAGTAGGGTATCTGGATTAGTGGTGACTTGATTAATGAGTCTGTGTAGATAGTAGGGTATCTGGATTAGTGGTGACTGGATTAATGAGTCTGTGTAGATAGTAGGGTATCTGGATTAGTGGTGACTGGATTAATGAGTCTGTGTAGATAGTAGGGTATCTGGATTAGTGGTGACTGGATTAATGAGTCTGTGTAGATAGTAGGGTATCTGGATTAGTGGTGACTGGATTAATGAGTCTGTGTAGATAGTAGGGTATCTGGATTAGTGGTGACTGGATTAATGAGTCTGTGTAGATAGTAGGGTATCTGGATTAGTGGTGACTGGATTAATGAGTCTGTGTAGATAGTAGGGTATCTGGATTAGTGGTGACTGGATTAATGAGTCTGTGTAGATAGTAGGGTATCTGGATTAGTGGTGACTGGATTAATGAGTCTGTGTAGATAGTAGGGTATCTGGATTAGTGGTGACTGGATTAATGAGTCTGTGTAGATAGTAGGGTATCTGGATTAGTGGTGACTGGATTAATGAGTCTGTGTAGATAGTAGGGTATCTGGATTAGTGGTGACTGGATTAATGAGTCTGTGTAGATAGTAGGGTATCTGGATTAGTGGTGACTGGATTAATGAGTCTGTGTAGATAGTAGGGTATCTGGATTAGTGGTGACTGGATTAATGAGTCTGTGTAGATAGTAGGGTATCTGGATTAGTGGTGACTGGATTAATGAGTCTGTGTAGATAGTAGGGTATCTGGATTAGTGGTGACTGGATTAATGAGTCTGTGTAGATAGTAGGGTATCTGGATTAGTGGTGACTGGATTAATGAGTCTGTGTAGATAGTAGGGTATCTGGATTAGTGGTGACTGGATTAATGAGTCTGTGTAGATAGTAGGGTATCTGGATTAGTGGTGACTGGATTAATGAGTCTGTGTAGATAGTAGGGTATCTGGATTAGTGGTGACTGGATTAATGAGTCTGTGTAGATAGTAGGGTATCTGGATTAGTGGTGACTGGATTAATGAGTCTGTGTAGATAGTAGGGTATCTGGATTAGTGGTGACTGGATTAATGAGTCTGTGTAGATAGTAGGGTATCTGGATTAGTGGTGACTGGATTAATGAGTCTGTGTAGATAGTAGGGTATCTGGATTAGTGGTGACTGGATTAATGAGTCTGTGTAGATAGTAGGGTATCTGGATTAGTGGTGACTGGATTAATGAGTCTGTGTAGATAGTAGGGTATCTGGATTAGTGGTGACTGGATTAATGAGTCTGTGTAGATAGTAGGGTATCTGGATTAGTGGTGACTGGATTAATGAGTCTGTGTAGATAGTAGGGTATCTGGATTAGTGGTGACTGGATTAATGAGTCTGTGTAGATAGTAGGGTATCTGGATTAGTGGTGACTGGATTAATGAGTCTGTGTAGATAGTAGGGTATCTGGATTAGTGGTGACTGGATTAATGAGTCTGTGTAGATAGTAGGGTATCTGGATTAGTGGTGACTGGATTAATGAGTCTGTGTAGATAGTAGGGTATCTGGATTAGTGGTGACTGGATTAATGAGTCTGTGTAGATAGTAGGGTATCTGGATTAGTGGTGACTGGATTAATGAGTCTGTGTAGATAGTAGGGTATCTGGATTAGTGGTGACTGGATTAATGAGTCTGTGTAGATAGTAGGGTATCTGGATTAGTGGTGACTGGATTAATGAGTCTGTGTAGATAGTAGGGTATCTGGATTAGTGGTGACTGGATTAATGAGTCTGTGTAGATAGTAGGGTATCTGGATTAGTGGTGACTGGATTAATGAGTCTGTGTAGATAGTAGGGTATCTGGATTAGTGGTGACTGGATTAATGAGTCTGTGTAGATAGTAGGGTATCTGGATTAGTGGTGACTGGATTAATGAGTCTGTGTAGATTGAAGGATATCTGGATTAGTGGTGACTTGATTAATGAGTCTGTGTAGATTTTAGTAGGATATCTGGATTATTGGTGACTAGATTACTGAGTCTGGGTAGATAGTAGGACATCTGGATTAGTGGTGACGGGATTAATGAGTCTGTGTAGATAGTAGGGTATCTGGATTAGTGGTGACTGGATTAATGAGTCTGTCTAGATTGAAGGATATCTGGATTAGTGGTGACTCGATTAATGAGTCTGTCTAGATTGAAGGATATCTGGATTCGTGGTGACTTGATTACTGAGTCTGTGTAGATAGTAGGGTATCTGTATTAGTGGTGACTTGATTAATGAGTTTGTGTAGATAGTAGGGTATCTGGATTAGTGGTGACGGGATTAATGAGTCTGGGTAGATAGTAGGACATCTGAATTAGTGGTGACGGGATTAACGAGTCTGTGTAGATAGTAGGGTATCTGGATTAGAGGTGACTGGATTAGTGAGTCTGTGTAGATTGAAGGATATCTGGATTAGTGGTGACTTGATTAATGAGTCTGGGTAGATAGTAGGGTATCTGGATTAGTGGTGACTTGATTACAGAGTCTGTGTAGATAGTAGGGTATCTGTATTAGTGGTGACTTGATTAATGAGTTTGTGTAGATAGTAGGGAATCTGGATTAGTGGTGACTGGATTAATGAGTCTGTCTAGATTGAAGGATATCTGGATTAGTGGTGACTGGATTAATGAGTCTGTCTAGATTGAAGGATATCTGGATTAGTGGTGACTCGATTAATGAGTCTGTCTAGATTGAAGGATATCTGGATTAGTGGTGACTTGATTAATGAGTCTGTGTATATAGTAGGGTATCTGGATTAGTGGTGACTGGATTAATGAGTCTGTGTAGATTTTAGTAGGATATCTGGATTATTGGTGACTAGATTTCTGAGTCTGGGTAGATAGTAGGACATCTGGATTAGTGGTGACTGGATTAATGAGTCTGTGGAGATAGTAGGGTATCTGGATTAGTGGTGACTTGATTAATGAGTCTGTGTATATAGTAGGATATCTGGATTAGTGGCGACTTGATTAATGAGTCTGTGTAGATAGTAGGGAATCTGGATTAGTGGTGACTGGATTAATGAGTCTGTCTAGATTGAAGGATATCTGGATTAGTGGTGACTCGATTAATGAGTCTGTCTAGATTGAAGGATATCTGGATTAGTGGTGACTGGATTAATGAGTCTGTGTAGATAGTAGGGTATCTGGATTAGGGGTGACTGGATTAATGAGTCTGTGTATATAGTAGGGTATCTGGATTAGTGGTGACTTGATTAATGAGTCTGTGTAGATAGTAGGGAATCTGGATTAGTGGTGACTGGATTAATGAGTCTGTCTAGATTGAAGGATATCTGGATTATTGGTGACTAGATTAATGAGTCTGGGTAGATAGTAGGACATCTGAATTAGTGGTGACGGGATTAATGAGTCTGTGTAGATAGTAGGGTATCTGGATTAGTGGTGACTTGATTAATGAGTCTGTGTATATAGTAGAACATCTGGATTAGTGGTGACAGGATTAATGAGTCTGTGTAGACAGTAGGATATCTGGGTTAGTGAATGATACTGAATACTAGTAGTAGGATACCTAGTTTGCAGGCGTCTTGAATTGACAGATAAGGCTGCTGGATAGAAGTAACTGGTAGTTGTTGCTCAATTAAAGAGGCCTGCATGAGGCTTTATTAGAAATTATTGTCATTTGATAAATCTGTATTGAAATTTGAGGCTTATTGAAAAAATGTGTGTTTTGCTCTAGTTGTTTTTCCAGACAAGCTCTGTCATGACATTTCTTGTATTATAAGACATACTGAAATGACTGAAATAAACTTGACAACAAGTGTACACTAAAGTATACAGTGTGTCAGCATGGACCCTTTGCAAGTATCCCTGTGTGACCAGAGTGGCTACTTTAATTAAATGTCAAGTGATGTGAATGGCCATCAGCTAACACTATTCCACTCGAAGTGCACGATGGATAGCATCAGTCATCATACAAAATTTGTTAGTAGGGTTACAGATGCAAGTAAAACATGATGAGTATATATATAAAACATATGTGTCCTAGTCTACAAGACTTTTTTGAAGTGCAAAAATGAATTCATTATTTGACCTAGTTTCTGATATTGTAAAAATATGTTATATCATTTCTCGATTCTTACGAGAAAAATGATCAAATTAAGAAAAATAAGCATAACTGCGAATTAAGGCCTTTTACAAAATTTATAGTATAAGGGGTAATATTCTTGACACATTCATGTTTTGTTATTTTATTGAATAAATCCAAAACAAATCCATAACAGTAATGTTTCGTGTGCAAAGAAAAATATATGAATATTAGAAAATGATTTTTTTTTTAAATAGTTATCATTCATTGTCATACATGTCTAGCACATAGTTCCTAAGATCAGCCCTATACATGTTTTTGATAAAATAAAAATACCATAGATATCTGGCAATAAGTTCATGCCAGTGGTAAGAAGCCCACCCATCTTTTTCAGAGCAGTAAATTATTTACTTATTAGCCCATTCCCATGATTTTGATTCTACGTTCCTAGTTGCCCCCCTGGGTTTATTGCAGGATGATAATGGTAAATGTGGTAAATACCTGATATACAAGTTTAAATTCTGTTAATTATCGTAATCTGGAAGGCATTAGACTTGTTGAGGGTTGCATTAGATTACTCAAGCAGACATTTCTCTGGTTTTAATCATACCGGTACTTGTCTAAATGAAGTTTTGTTTTGTTTTTTTGCACAGATGGTAATTATGAACAGCTTTTGGAACAAAGATTCTCGGAGCTTCGTGATAAGCTTCAATCTGCAGAGTTACTGAACAGGCAGCGCGAAAATGACTTGCACATGGTACGAAGTCAGTTTACCCATCTCCTGCAAACACTGGTCCACAGCAATGTAACCAACAGGTAATCAATATTTAACTCTGTTATACACTTCAGTTTAGCACATAATGTACTGTGCTATCCAGTGAATATACCCATGTCATATATGACCTATCAGCCCTGGGATTGGTTGTACGTTTCAATTGTTTCAATTGTTTCAATTGTGACGTCACGCCTAGGACAAGTACATGATGTCACAAATGTACGCACTGGAGTCAAAATGGCGGCTTTTTACATTTCAAGGTTGCATGAAAATTGTCGTTTTTCACGAATAAATACCACAAATCTTGATTATGTGATAAAAAGGAACTTCCAATCATTGAGTGTATATAAAGTTAAAGTGTATATATAATATATATATATATATATAGGATCTTACATGAGTTTCCATTTCATGAAATTTATGAAACTCGTCACAAATTTTCCATTTTAGCTCGCCAGACTCTCGCTAAATTGAACAATTCTGTGGGGAATCGTTTCATAAATCTCATGAAATGGAAACTCATGTAAGATCCTATATATATATATATTATATATACACTTTAACTTTATATACACTCAATGTAGCAGGTGTGAAAAAGTTTCTTTCATGAACTATATACATGTATACACAGTAAAATATATTTTCTGTGAACTTTCCTAGCAGTCATTGACTTGGGGGCTGTGGTGGCCGAGTGGTTAATGCATGTGACCATCTACGACCTTTAACCCTAGGCCTCCACCACTGGGTTGCGGGTACGAGACCTGCATATAGGGCAGTCACCAGGTAATGGTCGCAGGTCAATGGTTTTCTCCAGGTGCTCCAGCTTCCCTCCACCAACAAAGTCTGGCTCGTCCTTAAATGACCGTAGCTGTTAATAGGACTTAGAGCACAAACAAACCAAAGCACAAACTCAGGCTTATAATTTAATGAAGCATAAAATTTTGTTTATATTAATCAAATATGATATTATAAAAAAATCAATAACAATTAGTCAATTATTTTTCACTTTGAAGTCCACCTTTGATAGTTGCCAAATTGTTTGTTGACATATCAAACTAACATTGTACGTACATAGCAGTTGTACTCATTTCCACGTCAAATATAGGTTTTAAGGGCAGACTTCATTTCCAAGTAAGATATTTGTTTTATGGGCGGATTTTGACTTCTGTATGTAGTAATTGTACTCATTTCCAAGTTAGATATTTGTTTTAAGGGCAGATTTTGACTTATGTATGTAGTAATTGTACTCACTCCCAAGTTAGATATTTGTTTTAAGGGCAGATTTGGACTTATGTATGTAGTAATTGTACTCACTCCCAAGTTAGATATTTGTTTTAAGGGCGGATTTTTACTTCTGTATGTAGTAATTGTACTCACTCCCAAGTTAGATATTTGTTTTAAGGGCAGATTTGGACTTATGTATGTAGTAATTGTACTCACTCCCAAGTTAGATATTTGTTTTAAGGGCGGATTTTTACTTCTGTATGTAGTAATTGTACTCACTCCCAAGTTAGATATTTGTTTTAAGGGCGGATTTTTACTTCTGTATGTAGTAATTGTTCTCATTTCCAAGTTAGATATTTGTTTTAAGGGCAGATTTGGACTTATGTATGTAGTAATTGGACTCATTTCCAAGTTAGATATTTGTTTTAAGGGCAGATTTTGACTTATGTATGTAGTAATTGTACTCATTTCCAAGTTAGATGTTTGTTTAATGGGCGGTTTTTGACTTGAATCTAGGACAGCTTCATCATTGTGATACCTATAGCTATATAGATAGTAAACAGGCTTTATTTCCTCTTTGCTACAGTACTGGTATCATTAATATATAAATATACTACTACCCAGATTAATACCTCAGCATGGGATGGAATTCAAAAGGACCTCCAACAGATATTAAACATGATACAGGTTTCTTTAACTCATTCACCCCTGAAATTTCATAATGAACTATTCCAACCTTTGAACTGGAAGAGTTCAAATGTGTCTTCAGGGGTGAATGAGTTAAAATTCTGATAGAAACATTTTGAAATTGGATTAAATCAGTCAATGTTAAAAGCACTTTAGCTTGAGATTGATTTATACTGTGATTTTAAACCCTGGGGTCTATAGGGGAATGTGTATTGAAATTGATATACCATGTTAATGGATCCTGTGTATTTTTTTATTACTAAAACCCATTTATTTACAACATAACTAGAGCATGTGATCTGTTTACTACAAAACACAAATAATGTAAAATCTTTGTGTCCCAGTCAAGGATTTGCCTTGTATGTGAAAACACAATATAAAAATGATCATTGATTTATACAGAAATAAATGCTAATGTTTTCTGAGGTTTCTAATTAGTCTCTGATTTAATCTGCAGTGATGTTTTATTTTAGTATAAGATAGCTAGTTATAGACATAATAATAAATAGAGGGTATTTAATGGTATCTCCAGTAATAACAAATATATTTCACGAGTGTGGATAATATATTGATATTTTTTCACGAGTGCACAGCACGAGTGAAAAATGTCAAAATAGTAGCCACACGAGTGAAATATATTTGTTATTACTGAAGATACCATTAAATTTATTTTCTATTTATTACATTTTTAAAGCATAAAACATGAAAAAATGTAATGCATTAAAAAAAGAGCGGGAATCAGAAGCGTAATATTTTTTGGCGCCATATTCTAATGACGTCACGCTTGACAACAAGGCTGCACGCCATTTTGAATGGGATACTCAACCTAATTCTGACGTTTTCTACTATTTCCTGGTATGATTGCATATATTTTTTTTTAATCAATTGTATATTTTTGTAAATACTTCAGTGTATGTACCAAACATTTACCATACCAACCACTTTTTCTACCGTCGCTTCATTTGAATCTGAACAAAAAATTGTTGCCTTTGAATACAGCGAATAGAGGAAACCGTTATGATTGGTCAATACCAAAAAGTGATATTTTCACAGTGTGAAAATATCACTTTTTGGTATTTGTCACAGTGTGAAAGATATCAGGTATATCAAGTTGATAGAATCCGATATTTCGCTGACAAAAATGGAATAAATAATGATATACAACATTTGATATATTGCCCTCGAAGAAGCTGCCTTATCAGGCACTAACTACTAGTCCTATGCCACCTGGCTAATATCTCCCTATGTGTGTATGCCTGGGTGTATGCTGGAGATGTTAAGATGACTTGTAGATTTAGATCTTATTATGTGTTAAACTCAATCTTATAGCTTCAGTACTAGAATGTGTAAAAAAGGTCATTCCTACTGTATCTTCAAAATCATGAAATGTATAATGAAAACAACCTAACTTAGGTATTTGTTTTCCTATGAAGTCTTGTTTCCTCACAGATACTTGTCTAGAGGATGGTCCAGGTATATTTCTGAGCTTATTGCCATACATTTTCACCTTATCATAAATTTTATCACTTTCCTTTCCTTGCTGTATTATTTAATTTCAATCAATTTAAGTTTGTGACAGTTGCAAGGAGCTTCTTTTAATTTGTTTTGAATTCAAACATGCCACATGCATGCAAAATGTGATTGCAGCCTGATGTTTAGTAAGGGTCTTCTTTAACTCATTCCTGGGTTATCTACTGTATATGAAGATACCAGGTATATACTCTGCTGAGAGCAAAGAGGACAAGAGTATCTACATTTGTATTGGTGATAAAGGTGGCTGGATTATCTACTGCAAACAAAGGTGACTGGATATTCTACTGTAGACAAAGGTGACTGGATATTCTACTGTAAACATAGCGACTGGATATTCTACTGTAGACAAAGGTGACTGGATATTCTACTGTAAACATAGTGACTGGATATTCTACTGTAGACAAAGGTGACTGGATATTCTACTGTAAACATAGCGACTGGATATTCTACTGTAGACAAAGGTGACTGGATATTCTACTGTAAACATAGCGACTGGATATTCTACTGTAGACAAAGGTGACTGGATATTCTACTGTAAACATAGCGACTGGATATTCTACTGTAGACAAAGGTGACTGGATATTCTACTGTAAACATAGCGACTGGATATTCTACTGTAGACAAAGGTGACTGGATATTCTACTGTAAACATAGCGACTGGATATTCTACTGTAGACAAAGGTGACTGGATATTCTACTGTAAACATAGCGACTGGATATTCTACTGTAGACAAAGGTGACTGGATATTCTACTGTAAACAAAGATGACTGGATATTCTACTGTAAACAAAGATGACTGGATATTCTACTGTAAACATAGCGACTGGATATTCTACTGTAGACAAAGGTGACTGGATATTCTACTGTAAACAAAGGTGACTGGATATTCTACTGTAAACAAAGGTGACTGGATATTCTACTGTAGACAAAGGTGACTGGATATTCTACTGTAAACAAAGGTGGCTGGATTATCTACTGTAAACATAGCGACTGGATGTTCTACTGTAGACAAAGGTGACTGGATATTCTACTGTAAACAAAGATGACTGGATATTCTACTGTAAACAAAGGTGGCTGGTTTATCTACTGTAAACATAGCAACTGGATGTTCTACTGTAGACAAAGGTGACTGGATATTCTACTGTAAACAAAGATGACTGGATATTCTACTGTAAACAAAGGTGACTGGATATTCTACTGTAAACAAAGATGGCTGGTTTATCTACTGTAAACAAAGATGACTAGATATTCTACTGTAAACAAAGGTGACTGGATATTCTACTGTAAACAAAGGTGACTGGATATTCTACTGTAAACAAAGGTGACTGCATATTCTACTGTAAACAAAGATGACTGGTTATTCTACTGTAAACAAAGACGACTGGATAATCTACTGGGAACAATGGTGAATGGATAATCTACTCTAAACAAAAGTGACTGGATATTCTACTGTAAACAAAGATGACTGGCTATTCTACTAGGAACAATGGTGAATGGATAATCTACTGAAAACAAAAGTGACTGGATATTCTACTATGAACAAAGGTGACTGGATTATCTACTTGGAATGAGGGTGGCTGGATTATCTACTTGGAAT